TTCCACTACGGAGGAAACCCGGAAGTGAGGCAATCCATCGCAACGGACCCCAGAGTTTAAAAGCCAGGCGGGAAAACACACCGACGCTTCATCAGAGGCTGCACTTAGGATGTTACCAAGCACGGTAACAAAACGTCTGCGGAACAACAAACCAGCTCAGCGAGCCAACCAACCTCAACACCCACAACCCGAGCTACAAATCTACTCCAAAACCTTAGACTTCTATATGGTCTTTGTGATGCTGTATTGACTAACTTCCCATTACAAGGTCTGAACCATTACTGCAACCTGTTGATTAGTTTGGACTTTCTCGTTTGCCATCAGTGACTGAATTACTGGTGAAAACAACTTGATCACTTCCTCAATGTTGTTATCAGAATATTTCTTCTTGTTTATCATAATATTCATGATGGTCATTGTGGATTCATCTTTGGAAGATGAGGTCAGTTATTCTACTTAAACTTGTCCCATTCTAGTCATCTCCACATCTACTGTGTTGCTTGAATTTTTCCTAGTCAGTTGTTCACTGAGCTATGTTGCAATCTGACTCAATTCAGTCATAGATGTTAGAAATATCTCGAATAGGGTATTATATTCAATTGCTGCCTTTTTGTTTGCTTTCAGAACTGAGTTCTGTAGAAAGGTCACTGGACCCGAAATGTTAACTCTGATTTCTCGCCACAGATGCTATGTTTGACGCTGGGTAGCCAACAAATGTTGAAAGTCAAACTACAATTTTCACCTGCTGAGATTTTCCTGCAATTTCTATTTTTGTTTCTAATTTCCAGCATCTACAGTTCTTTCACTTTTTTACCAGGTTTGGAGGGACTGTCTTATGAGGAGAGATTTAGTAGACTGGGCCTGTACTTGTTGGAATATAGAAGAATAAGAGGTGACCTTATGGAAGTGTACAAGATTCTTAGAGGATTTGACAGAGTAAATGCAGGAAGGTTGTATGCCCTTGTAGGTGAGTCTATGACCAAAGAGCATAATCTCAGAATAAGGGATCACACCTTTAAGACAGCGTTGAGGAGGAATTTCTTCTTTCAGAGAGTTGTGAATCTGTGGAATTCTTTACCGTAGAAGGCTGTCACATCTGGGTTGTTAAGTGTATCCAACATTGAGACAGACAGATTTTTGATCAGTGAGGGAATCAAATATTATGGTGAAAAGTCAGGGAAGTGAAGTTGTGGAATAGGCTGAATGGCCTATTTCTACTCCTATGTCTCGTGGTCTTATTTCATTCTCCTGTTTCTCCACATAACTAAGAACCATGTCCTCAAGACCATTATAGTAGCGTTCTTTTGCACCATTTCTAAGACCTAAAGTGTGGTGCTCAGAGCTGTCAAAATGCTCCATCCAAGGCCTATCCAATGGTTTATAATGGTTTAGCACAATTTTCTTCCTTTTCACTTTATGCGTCTACTTATAAAGCCAGTTTACCAAGTATTTTCAGCAACTTATCCTATCATTTTCAAAGATTTATGTACAAACTCTCCCAGGCCTCTGTGTTCCAACATCCCCCATACCCTGTAAATTATGTTTTAATGTTGGTTCTCTTAATTCTCCCCACCAAAATGAACTACTTCACACTTCTTGGATGGCATGGTGGCTCAGTGGTTAGCATTGCTACCTCACAGTGCGAGGGACAGGGGTTCAATTTCACCCTCAGGCAGCTGCTTGTGTGGAGTTTCCACATTCTCCCTGTGTGTCTGCATGGGTTTCCTACCACAGTCGAAAGATGTGATTGGCCATGCTAAATTGCCCATCGCATCTGAGAATGCACAGGCGAGGTAGGTTTGCCATGGAAAATGTAGGGTTACAGGGACGGGGTGGGTCTAGATGAGATACTCTTTGGAGGGTCAGTGTGACTGATCCAGATCTGGACCTTGGTGCTTTACTAAAACTTTTTAAAAAATCAGTTGATGCTAGGTTAATGACCTTTTTATCCCTTTCCCCTTTTTAAACAGATGTATAATCATTGCAATCTTTTCATCTTCTAACACTGCTGTCAAGTGTCAGGAGAATTGGAAGATTGTAGCCAGAACCAATGTCCTTTTCCACTTACTTACCTCAATGTCCTAAAGTACATTGCATCTGGACTGGGTGACTCTTCTTAGTTGAGTGTTGCTAAGTTTTTAAGTATCTCTTTATTTTTCTCCAGATCAGGATCTCCAGTTCCATCATCCTCTGTGCCAAACCAGACCAAGCATTGATTTACCTTTCAGTCAATTTTGGTCTGAAAGAAGCCAATATTTCCCACGACCTGCCTGTGTTCAGATTTGCTGATTTACTGCAATGTAAAACATATCTAATAACATAATGAGTTGGTTTGCACTAGTCATGTGGATACTCTAATTTGACTCATAGGTAGAAGGCTTCACAAGTGAAGTTATCCTCAGTGAAATTATGCTATTCTTTGTAAAACCTATCTCTCCTCAAAAATGTTGATGCTTTTGGTTTAGTTGTTACTGTGTTATTATCCCACCAACACTCCTTCCCCATCCAATGTCCTAATCACCCTTCCAAAACAAAATGCATTTAACATGAAATTGTAATTCTGATATGAACAAAGAATAGAACCTAATGCATTGAATACAGATTTGTTTGAGTGGCCCAAGACTATCTGTATCATATCCCATCTTTTCACATGTGTAATAACTCAGGCAGCCCAACTGGAAAGGAACATCATTTATTGTTGAACAACAACATAGAGCCAATACTTGTGACATAGATAAGACAGTCTTCGACCAGGACTGACAGTTTTACAGACCCATCCCTGTATCTGGTTTATTTTTTTTTAAAAATCCACAAGTGCATTTACACACAATGAACAGTTTTCCCACCACCAAATCACCATTGGGTTTGTTTTATAAAGGGCTTGGGTGATGAATTCCAGCTGGGCAGGCCATTGCCTGTGAAGAATATAGAACCTAGAACAGTACAATGCAGTATAGGCTCTTCTGCCTACGATGTTGTGCTGACCTATTATCCTACTCTAAGATCAAACTGCCCTGCATACCCTGCATTTTACTATCATCCATGTGCCTATCCAAGAGTCGCTTGAATGTCCCTAATGTATCTGACTCCACTACCACCGCCAGCAGCACAGTCCACACACCCACCACACTCTGTGTGAAGAACCTACCTCTGACATCTCCCCTATACCTTCCTCCAATCACCTTAAAATTATGCCCCCTCATATCATTTCCACCCTGGGAACAAATCTCTGGCTATCCACTCTATCTATGCCTCTGATCACCTTGTACAGCTCCATCAAGTCACCTCTCATCCTTCTTCGCTCCAATGAGAAAAGCCCTCGCTTCCTCAACCTTTCTTCATGTGACCTGCCCTCCAGTCCAGGTAGAATCCTGGTAGATCTCCTCTGCACCCTCTCTAAAGCTTCCACATCCTTCCTGTAATGAGGCGACCAGAACTGAACACAATATTCCAAGTGTGGCCTAACCAGGATTTTATAGAGCTGCAGCATAATCTCACGGCTCTTAAACTCAATTCCCCTGCCAATGAAAGCCAACACACCATACACCTTCTTAACAAACCTATCAACTTGGGTGGCAACTTTGTGGGATCTATGGACTTGGACCCCAAGATCCCTCTGTTCCTCCACACTGCCAAGAATCTTGCCATTAAGCCTGTATTCTGCATTCAAATTTGACTTTCCAAAATGATTCACTTCACACTTTTTCAGGTTGAATTCCATCTGCCACTTCTTTGCCCACCTCTGCATCCTGTCAATATCCTGTTGCAACCTACAACAGCCCTCCACACTGTCCACAACTCCACCAACCTTTGTGTCATCGGCAAAATTACTAACCCATCCTTCCACTTGTAAATTAACACAGCAGAGCTTGACTGGGAATCAAACCTGGGCTGTAGCGCTGAGAGGCTGAATCCTAGCCACTAGACCACCAGGGAAAGCGACAAATGCTATGTTATGAAGGGAACCCATATTCAATGAGGTCCAGAGGGCGATTAATTAGTAATTCCCCATGGCCTTAAAGGGGTTATCACACTCCTCCCCCATCTGAGTCCAAGAGACTCACCCCTTCTCCTACAATAACGGGGTGTCCTGTGTTGTTTTGTCCATGGCCCCATTTCTGTTCCATTTACTGGTCTGATCAAGGTGTATTTAATAATTAGGTGAATGTCTCTTCCATGAAGACCATTGAAGAGTTATTGCAGGAGGATTCGTCCTCCATGGCCTGTCAGTTGAAACAGTCGCCTCTGTTGAGGGTTCCCCAGAGTTGGTCATTGTGTTTTCTCTTTAGTTTGTGATCTTCTCCCAGTTTTGACCATATACAATACCAGATCTGATTTTTTTTAAAAAGCGCTCCCAGAAAACCTTGAGAACCATTGTCAAATTTCCTCACTTGGACCGTGTCTCCCCCAATAATTGTTGAGAGTTAGGAAAAGCTTTGACTCCATTATATTCCTTGGAGTTGGAGTCACTTTTTATGGATTTCTCCTTCTCTATTGAGAGGGTATAATCCATTCTTGTCAACTCTGTGCACAAGGTACATTACTTCATTTACCTGGAACACAATTTTTTTTTTCCCTTTTTAGCCTGATGCTGGGCCTCAGAAAAATACAGGAAAGCCTCCCCCAAACTCTCCTTTGCAGTTGCTCATGCAATTAAAATATATTGCAGATAGACTGCCACTTTGGGCACCCCTTGGAAGGTGTTCACCATTACCATTTGAAAGATGGCATCAGCCAAATATACCCTAAAAGGCAAGTGAGTGTAATGATACAGTGCTTTCTGAGTATTTAGAGTCACATATTTCCTGGATGACCCCTCAACCTCCAGTTGTAGCTCATATTCAATTTAGAAAAGATATGACCGCAGCCAGCTTTTCTACAAGTCTTCAATGCATGGTCTAGGGTATCTATCTGCATGGGAAACTCTGTTGTCTGTCAACTCATAATCCTCACAGAGATGGACCGAGTTGCCAGGTTCCTCTAGACATTCCAATTCAGCCTCTGCTCTGGTTCATAGGGCACTGGTCTTGCCTTGAAGTTTTTAGGTCAAGCCTCTGGGTGTACATAGATCTTGCCCCCGGCGCCTTTTTATCTTCCCAAGGCCCTCTTCAAAAGCTCCAGGATACTTCCCAATGACTTCATATAGATCTCTAGTACCCATTTTAAAAATCTGTTGCCAATCCAGGAAGATTTTCTGTAGCCAGCCCCTTCCCAAAAGAATGAGACCAGGTCTTTGTATCACCACTAGGGGGAGTGAGACAGTCTGCTGTCCCTGTGTAACTGGGGTTACTGTGGTCCCAATAATAGATGAGGACTGTTCAATGTAAGCGGCCAGTCTAGCCTTGGTGTCTTGCAGGCTTACAGCAAGATGCCCCTATGGGGTTTTCTAAAGGTTTGCTCCCCAGCAATATACAGCGGTACCTACATCTACCTACATGTCGAGGGGGTGGCCTGAGTGGTTATCTTAATTGGAGCCACTTTGGAGCAGTGATACAATTTAGTTGTATCAATTCCTCATCCTCAGCTTGGTTTATTTGCAAAGCTCTGACTTGAAGTGGCTTCACTCTTTGGTCTGGGCAGTATGCATTTCACGTATTTTGCTCACCTTGTCTCAGATGAACTCTATGACCTCAAGTGTGGCATGGACATTCCTGATCCACACTGTATTGTGGAGAAATGTCCCATCCAGTTCTGGAATGTTGCAACTTCTGATTCCAATCACCATTCCTTAGCAACCAACAGGAGTCATGAGTATTATCCATTGGGGACTTGGGACTGCAGTTTAAGGGTAGCCCAAGGCTGAGGATGGTATCGTGTATTGAAGCTTGAAGCCCCTGAGCCTCTCTTTTCCATATTTCTACAGGAAAGGGCCAGTTCTATTGCTTTCTCAAGGTCCAGATGTGGTTCAGTCAATAGCATCCTTTGAGTCGCAAATTATTAATTCCACAAACTAAGCGATCGCTTAACATTTCCCAAATTGCTGACCTGTACTCATAGTGTTCTGCCAACATCTGAAGTCTCATCACGAATTCAGTAACTGGTTCTGCAGGAAGTCTGTCTGCCATGTTAAACCCCTAACATTGCAGTATAACAAATGGTTTGGGGTCATGGTGATCATCGCTCAGTTTATCAAAGGATTTTGACTTGGGCTGTTGGATAGGTTAAACTTTTATGATGCTTAAAGTCAGGCGTCACAAGTGGTTAGGAGAATGACTTTTTAACAGTGATCTTTGTAGATCCAATTTACCTGAAAAAAGTGAGGTTGTTGACTTGCTCACCGAGCTGGTTTGTTTTTGTTTAGATGTTTCATCACCATGCTAGGTGACATCATCAGTGGAATCTCCAATGAAGCAATGTTATTCTACTCCACTTGGAATTTAACGAACCGGACAGTAAAAATTCCAAGCAGAGTAGAACAACATGGCTTCGTTGGAGAATCCACTGATGATGTCACCTAGCATGGCATCGAAACATCTGAACAAAAACAAGCCAGCTCAGCAAGCAAGTCAACAACCTCATCCACAACCTGAGCTACAGATCTTTGCCAATACTTTAAGCCTGAAAAAAGTATCTCCTTCTTTCAGCGTACTGGGGCCAATCCTCCACGCCCACATCATAATGTACTAGTTTCCCAATATTTTTCATAAATCCCCGTCACAGTATTACTGGGTTTGTTGAAAGGCAAAACTATCCAAAACTTGTCTTTGCTCTCCTCACCAATGCAATAACTTAGGAAGTCCAACTGGAAAGAGGCATCGTTTATTGTAGAACATCAAAATAGAGCCAATACTCATGGCGTACATTGGCTAGTCCCAGTCCAGGACAGATGGTTCTGCAGACCCATCCACGTTGGTTAGAAAAATAGGAAAAGTGAAAAAAAAGCAGCATTCATGGGTCTGCTTTTTTTTTGATTTTCCTATATTTTTAACCAACCTGGTCAGTGATGTTATTACACACCTCTGGAACAGGTAGGATGTGAACCCGAGTCTCCTGGCTCAATGGTAGGGACAGTACCACTGCACTATAAAAGCCCTTGAGTTCCTTTCATATACATATACAGTGAGACGAAAATAGAAACACTGCTGTGAAGAGACTTTATTCTACCTTCCACCAGGAAATCACCTCTGTGGCCAATTGTGTATCAACAAGAAAAGCCTGTTAAGGGCAATGCTGACATCAAAACAGTGAGGGGGTAGGGAGAGAAGGAGGGGACTAAATCAAACTGGAGTTATATAGGGAAATAAAGCACTGTATCCCTGCAGTGCCCACGTCTCCTAGTCAGTTTATTTGGGTCACTTTATAAAGGGCTCAGGTGATGAGTTCCAAATGGGTAGGCCATTGCCTGTTACCCCAAGGACGCTCATACTTAACAAGCTCCTTTAGGAAATTAATTAGTGATTCCCCATGGGCCCTAAAGAGGTTATCATGACATATCTCCAACATGACATTGTCCTGAGCTAAAGAGAAAATGAACATTGTCAGGCATCTGAAATCCAAAGCCACTATGCTCTATGCTTTGTAGCAAAGCTGCAGCACTATTGAGGGGAAAGGGCAGTTTGCCCTGGTGCTGGGACAAAACCTGTTCCTGTTCTCATGTGAAGTATTTTTTCAAATAGAATTTGTACTACTGGGTTGCAGGGGTATCAAGAGTTTAAAGGATACCATTGTGCATATTTTGTTTACAAAACTTTGGATAAAATCCAACAGCCGCTTTCCAAGTATTTATTATAATCCGGTCCAGAGGTTTGAAAACCTCCCACTAATCAGTTTTGGAAATAGTAGTAAATATTTTGAATGCAAGCAAAGAAGAGGAATCTGGGCAGGGAATTTATAAAAGGCAAGGGTGCTTGGTACACACACAATTAGTTTGAACCATGACAGACCTAAATTTATAACCTGCAGCTGTTGGATGTCTGATACGAGTCTCAGGACTAAACAGCAGTGTGAAACACAGGAACCCAGGGAGACTTCCACAGAAAAACAAGCCCAGCGCAAGAAACTAGGGTAGGAAACAGTTCAACTTGGTAGTTAACCCTGACCTTTATTATATCTGTTACTGTATTTTTAATAAAATGTTATTGTTTGTATGTTACCTTTTCTTTAAAAGGAGATGGAATTTTTGTTTCCAGCAAGACTCTATTCAGACTCTTCTTTTTTTGACAGGTTTCCAGTATGATAAGTGGAGGTGATTGTTGCTTATTATGAGATACAGATAAGTTTTAGTGAAGTTATTTCACATGATAGATAATAAAACCATGCAAGATGTTGCAGTTAATTGATGCCTAGAGACGTCAGCTCTAAAGCACTCGGAATTAATCAAGCTGTGTCCTTGTTTATGTATTGAGTTATTAGATCTAGCAGTCATGGGTAATATATTTCACCTTGCTCCTGTTCATGCCACAATTTGCAATGCATACAAATGTTGAAAAAGCTATCATAAAATATGCTTAAAGTTAATGTTCATATGTGATGTCAGTGATAACTTCTGATGTAATTTGCAGAGTTTTCCAGTTTCCAAAAATGCATTTTCTGCTTTTTGCATTTGTTTTCAAGGGGAGATTACAAATGAATACTTTGACAAACTTAGATGATAAATATAGACTGTCAAGTTTATATAAATTTTCCTGAAGCAATCTGTTAATCTAATCGTGTGGCAAAAGTATCTGAGGCAGGGTGTGGCTCAAAAAGTTCCTTTCTACAATTAGAACACAGGCTTCACATTAGAATCTGATAGCAGAGAGGAACGTAATTTACAAATGATGTCATGGGTCAAATTTCAGAGATTGGACAACTTAGACATTTAAACCTTTTAAAACCTGGAATGTCTGCACCCCATCACTCTTCATTATTGCAGCATACCACTCAGCAAATCTTGTCTTTTATAACTAATTTATTTCTGGTTTCTTTTACCTAAGTACATATGAGAAAATGTTTCAATGACGTGATTGTTTCTAAATTGCTCTGGCCTGAACTCTTGTTAAATCATCTGTGTGAAGCCAGGGTCATGAAGTCTGTAACATTCACAAGCAAAGCCAGACTGGATCTCAGTCTTGCGAAGAAAAATATATTCAATATCAAATCTTAAAATCAGAACTTGTCAGCATTGTGTATCATCAAAGTTTTGCAGAGCAAGATTGCGATATTTGTAAAGGAGCAAACAAAGATTCAAAGAGAGTGTGGGCTGATGTTATGAAGCAAACTCAGCAGCCGCTTTATGGCATCAGTGTAGAGGTCAGAATGTGACTCCTGACACACCATGTGAGTACATTTCTCTATTAATTCTTTGCCAGGCTTAAAATACCCTTGGACCAGAGCACTGTAAGCACCATGTGTGAATTCCAATGTGAGTCAATAAACAGCTAGAGGAGCTAGTTTGAGCACCAATGCATACTGTCTTTTAATTTAGATAAACTCAGATGTGAGCTCCCAAGTTCTAAATCATCTTTTTCAGCCCCTGTTTCCTGACTTGACTATTGCATTTAATAGAACTGTCAGTCTGATAACTCAGATCACTAGGCACTTTCAGAATAGATTTAAATGAATTCTTATCATTTAATGAATATATATTTTGAAACTTCAAATTTAAACCTTATGTTTGCTAAACAATTTTAAAAATGTGAAGCACTACTTGGAGCGAATTTTCCGCTGGATGATAATTCAACTGTTTATTTATTGTTCTTAAAAAGCATTACCAGAATACTCCATTGCTTCATTCCATTAAGCTTCTCATTCCTCAACAATTTCAGCTCCTTTCTAAGATCCTGCAAACTGCCCTATTCTTGATCACTCCTTAATATATGGTATCTTATTATTGCCTCTTTTATTTCTTGGAGCACTGGCTACTATTGAATAAGGTAATGGTTCAGAAGAAGTGAATGCTCGTTATGTTGGCTCCAGTCTTTCTGCTGATGTCACACACAGCCAGTGGGTGGGGACAGGAGTTCTACATTAGTTTTTGAAAGCAGTAGATGCATCTCTACTAGCTTCCTAAAATCCTAGTACCCGTGCCTGACCAAATGTTGTTGTACTCATTGCCATCACGCAAGAAACCTTCTTGCTTTCTAAGGACGGTATCTCTTCAGTAAATACTACGCAGTGCTACATCCTACCATTAATCCCTCAATAAGCCCAAGACAAAACAAAGAAAAAGGTGGACTATTGGAACTCCCTAAAACAATCCTGAGCCAGTACCATCTACTGCTAGAGATGGCAAAGCACATGTACCAGAAGTGGTCACAGGGGAAAATATCTCACTTATAACTTCAGAAGCGTGAAGTCTGTTCTTTCCTTAAAAATAACCCCATGACCATTTCATTTTATACTCCACTTCTATCCTTTTCTTCTCTGATTTTTCTTATGTCTGTGCCTCCTTGCTCCATTTTTATCTCACTCATTGCTGTACCTTGAACTCTTTCAGTTTAGCTTTCAATCCAGTAGAGTTCCAAGCAAAACCTGATCAAATCTCAACTTCTGTATTTTTAAAAAATGATGATTCCTTCTGGTCCTCCTCCACCTGCATAGCTTTCAGAATTGTTGCCCATGGAATCCTCTCAAGCTTCTTCACTGTATTCAACTCAGTGGGATTACAATCTCCTGCTTGTTTGAAAGGAGCCCAAAAGAATATGCAATAGCACTTTGGCCATACATTGTAAGGTTGCTTCTCATGTATCCCTAAGATTAATTCACGCATCTCTCATGTTTTAGGTCTATATGATGATCCTCAGTAGCAACGGAAATGAATTTGTTCAAATATTCTCCTGAATATTTTTCAAAATGCTGGAAAAGTGATGTAAATATTTATCTGAGGCATCTGCAATTCTTGCACTGAAGGTGTGGCAGATGAACAGGAGAAGCATAAGTTCATTCCCTTTAACCATATCTACATATGGAAAAGCCTTCCACATAACACTGCAGCTTTAATTGTACATCACAACTCTTGACTATTACTGCCCTTATGAATTCTTGCTGTCGATGAACCAGAACTTTCTTCAGCTTAAAATTGAAAGATACGGATTTGGCTTCTTTCAGACATTCCATGCTCTTCTTCCCTGCTGTTCTCAGATCAACGTGAATATCAAACCCCCTGTCTCCACAGGTCAGGCCTCAATTCTATATTTATTGTACAATTTTAACTGGAAAGTGCTTCACAGCAACCCTGATGTTTTAGGAAGATTATTAGTGCCCTCCAGATATATCCGTTTGCACAAGCGACCACCTGCAGTTTGCTCCAAACATAAACGACAAACTGAAGACACTTTTTTAATAATATGGCCTGAAATTCCTGGGTAAGTGGCATTTCTGGTTGCTCTCCAAGATCCTGGGGGCAGGATCTATGATCAGGAAGAGCACATTGTACTTAGAGATTTCTACAGCCTCTTTCTCTCTGCCTGAAAGTGAAACACTTGAAAATCATTTCTCTAGGTGGACACATCCTGGGCTTGAAACAGAAAGAGTTTTCAGCTGAATGTCTTCAGTTTCAAGGGACCTGTTACCCATTTGAAAGAAAATCCTTTTAAAAGTTGATTATTTCTCTCTCAGGGCCTTCCTGGGTCTTTTCTGGGATATTGGCATTACTTGTGTTAACTCTTAGCTGGTATGAGTTCCGTTAAGAGTACATGGAAAGTCTAAAGGGTGGATTCCCAAAGCAAACCTAGAAACATTCTCAGATTCACTGTCTAGATAGTGAAAGGGGAATGCAAGATATGCTGTTGGTATTCCCTGTTGACTAGATTTTAATGGTCCTGTCTAAAAGTGACCGAGTCCTGAAACAATTGGAGTCCAACCCTCCCCCACACCAGAACTTGTGTTCCACTCTGCTCTCTGAGCCTGGGATTTTAGATCCTTGCTCTCTGAGAAAGCAGATCTAGTCACAGCCCTTGAAAAATGGCAGCGTCAGAGGTGGATGCTGTCTCTGTTGCAGGGGTACATTACTGAATGAACAATCAGTACCAATGCTCATCATGTTTCATGAGCTCTCTGTAAAATTACACATTATAAGGTAGATTTGCTGCTACCATTCTGTTTCGGGGTAATGGTTGACAGGGCCAGTTTGGTGAAGTGTTGTAGAGGGAAAACAAAAAGAAGAGATTCTAGACTTAACAAGATGTAGTTTATTGAATGATAAATATTGAATGAGGCACAAGTTATATTGATTGTTAGAGACAGTATGAGGCAGACCTGGATGGTAGGTCTGTCCCCATGTCCATATGACATCATTGGAGTAGATTACACTTAACTTTCAAATCTTTACACCTTTAAACCACAGGCATAATAGCATCTTTAGCGTCTGAAAGGCATTCAACTGAACAAAATAAACAGCAACTGAGACTGGTAAGTCACCCCCTTTAAAGCAATCACTCTCCATCAAATGACCAATGGCTATAGCTGTGGCCTGCTGTCAGTGGTGTCTTAGGTTGGGATTTGAATGCAGGAGATTGTGAATTTAGTCAAAAAGAGAAGGGAAGCATATGTAAGATTTAGAAAACAAAAATCGGACAGGACCCATGAGAAATATAAGAAAGTAGGAAAGAACTTGAGCAGGAAATTAGGCAAGCAAGGAGGGGCCATGAAATGTCCTTGGCGAGTCAGGTTATGGAGAATCCCAAGGCGTTTTATACATATGTTAAAAACAAGAGGATAACTAGGGAGAGGAAAGGACCACTCCAGGATAAAAGGGGGAACTTGTGCTTGAAGGCAGAGGATATAGGCAAAATTCTAAATGCATACTTTGTATCAGTATTCACCCAGGAGAAGGATATGGAGGGTAGTGAGATTAGTGTAGGACATGCTAATATAGTAGGGCATTTTGAGGCCAAGAAAGACATGTTGTTGGGTTACTTGAAGAGCATTAAGGTGGATAACTCCTCAGGATCCAATGAGATCTACCCCAGGTTATTGAGAGAGGCAAGAGAAGAGATTACTGGGGCATTGACCAGGATCTTTGTATTCTCTCTAGCCACTAGAGAAATCCCTGAGGACTGATGAGTAGATAATGTTTTTCCTTA